GCAGCTGGGGAAAGGTTGACCTTCAGACAGAAAATGCAAGAAACATTATTCATCTGAAACTTTAGCACTCCTTCCTGGAAACCCACTAAGCAATTCGGTACTCTAAAGATATCCATGAAGAAAGTGCCTAATGAGAAAGTTTTCTTTCTGCCGAAATTCACGAGGAAGGTGGTTTTCAATGTCAGTGAGCTGTATCATAATGCTGAACAGCAATGCCCGTGCATAAAACCACAGTTTATAGCTGTACAGACACAGGTCAGATGTGTGCAGTTTTTAGGATTAGTTGTTTTAGGACAGTCATATTATTTAGGGTTGGGGAAGGCTGAGTTTAAGGAAAAGATTGTCTCAAAATAGAATTAAAATGAAATGCAGCATCCGGGAGGGTATGTGTGAGATATCCAAATAACTGCTGATTAATTTTAAACCTCTTGTATTTTGGTGATAGACCACACAAAAGCTTTCAGCACAAAAGTGGGATGGTTTTATTTTGTTTTGCTTTGGTTTTAATTTATGAAAACCAGAAACAGCATTTATGAAGAAAGTGGTAAATTAAGAGCAGGACATTCAAGACGACCACATAGATATAATCGCACATGGGACCAAGCTGAATCTGTCTGTAGATCCTGCAGACCACTTCCATTCCTAGTGCAGATCCCCATGACAGTCTCTACCTGACAGGTGATGATGCTGTAAGACACAACAGGGGACTGTGTTGCAAGCTCTGCTATTACTTAGGCTTCTTTACTCCTCCAAAGTATACTCAAATACATTTACAACTATGCTTAAAAGTCTTAGTGTAAGTCATGAAAACTGAATGGCACACAAAAATTAACCCAGTCTGGTTGGGGAGGCTGTGTCTTCAGTTATTTTTTATCATGTTTGTTCATGTAATGAATATTGCCAATTAGTAACTCATTTGCAGTAGGTCTCCTAGTCATTAGCATGAATTAGCAAGGTTTTGTTAGGGGAATGTCTCAAACATTAAATAAAAATCCTGTATCATTCAAAACCTCAAGGATACTCTGCAGTTAGACCCTCTATGGAAATCAAACTGCTCAGGTTCACCTCCCAGTCTCTCAGCCTCTGCTGTGACAGTGTGGTGGATGCTCTGTTCATCTCTCTAAGCTTCATAACCCAATTCCTGAGCAATATCCTCCTCCTCCAGAGGATAGCAGGCTGGGTCAGTGCTGGTGTACTCCATCCCCCTCAGGCCAAGTGCGTGCCAGCAGAAGCTGTGTATCCCAGGACCAGGCAAGGCTCCTCTCTCCATAGGCAGGCTTTGGTAGCTGGGGCTTTGTGGTGTTGATTCGCACAATTTTCTGTAGCTCTGTATTTATTTTTCTCTTGGTACTCACAGTTCATGTGTTTAATGCAGATTGTTTATAGCAAGGACAAAGGATTACAGTCCTTAAATCAAAAGCGACGTTGGTGTAATTATAAGTGCAGGCTGGTGTGGCAAAGTGGCTGTAGGGAGAGGCTGTCAAAGGAGAAGAGCATCCAAAATATAGTAACCTCAGAAATCCTGGCTAATCAGTTTTCTGACGGGAGCAATCTGTTTCCCAGGTATTATTATTATATGGGGACTTTAAAGATAATAAATAACAATAATAGTCTAGTATAAGGAAGGAAAGAAAAGGGCAAATGCCATTCACCTCGGAAACTGTGGTTGCTCACTGGAGTTCTCCCAGGAACATAATTTTCCTTAGCCCCTGCAGAGGACTTGATCCATGACAACACAAGAGCATCTTGGGTGCTGCGGTGTAAGCAACAAGATTGCCTTGAGTAGTGTTTTCATTAACATAGAGACATGGCCTGCAGAAACTATGTACCGCAGGGCAAGCATCCTGAGCCAGAGAGCTGTTCTCTATGCTGTTGGCTGGGACCGATGGTCCCTGTGGATTGCCACATTCCTTGGGAAAGAGGGCAGGCGATACACCACTTCCAGCACTCTGGTACATCTCTGGACATTTACTTATAAAACCAAAACAAAGAAGGGCTTGCAGAAGTAAGCTTTGCAGAGCTGTACAGGGTGTGGAGGCTTCTCTCCTGCAACAAGGCAGCCTGGCTAACGGACCCTGGCTAACATATTATCAGCAGCATTTGAGTAATAGACTGCTCATTTAGTTTTAATACATTTTGCATAGAGAGCAATCAGCCTTCATCAGTCTTAGAGATGAATTGGCTTAGCCAGCTAAATTCTAAAGATATTAGTCTGACAGCAGCCACATAAATCATAACATTTTCTTAATGATGGTAATATTAAAATATACTCTTGCTTTGAGAAACCAATGAAGCCTTCCTGTTTGCAGGCCAGATCATCCTGCCTGAATTAAAAGGAAGCTTAATTGATGTGTTTTAAAACTAAACTCACAGCCCCACTCCTGAGCATCTCTTGTATTCCTTTCTTTGAAGTTAAATTAATTTGTCCTACCTCTCCCTATTCCGTCTTCTAATCTTCAGCAGTGTCAGTGGAGACCTTGGCTCGGTGTTCATTGACCAAACTCCTATGGGAAGTGAGCAGGACATACACAACATCAGAGCTGAAGGCTTTGCCAGGTTAATCGTTTGTGTTGCCAGTAGTTCTTTGAGCTTATGCTTTTCCTCTAACCAACAGATGAAAGAGACCACAAGAGCTCCTGTCTGTCCACCTAGCCTAGCCAAACATGACCTTTTCCTATTTCTAGTACATAGCTCCTGAAGCTGGCTTGAGATCCAGCATGTTTTTGCCAGTTAAAGCTAGCACAATCTGACTAGGTCAGCTCATACATCACCTAGCTGCAGCAGAGCTGGGTACCTTGCCTGTATTAAACGTTCTGTGTGATTCCATGTGGGGCAGAACAGTTCTTTGGACCAAGGCTTGTTGCTCTAAGGAATGTCTTCCTAATGCTCCAGGCTAACCATTCTGTCTCCTGCTAAGCCGTGCTGACTGACCTTTTCTTCCTTGGCATTCTGCTGCTAGATGCAGCAAGGCACCCAGGAAGTAACCAGGACCATTTCCTGTCCCAGTGCCTTGTGTTAGGGCTCTACCTTGTCCTGCTGCTTTTCAGCAGAGCCTCTATAGGGCCTGTGCCATAGAGCTTCTCAGAAAACCTACTTTAGTAAGGTTCTGCTCACGTTAACACTCTGTACGAAAGACTTGACTGAAATCCAAATATCTGATACCTTTGGCAGCCTTTCTTCTGCTAAGACAATACTTTTGTGGTCAACTGTAAAGATTCAGTTTCTAAAGTATGAAGTTCATTGCTATGTAGAAACCCCAGCTCTAAGCTAGAGACCCTCAGGGTTTTAAGAAAGGACAGAGGTATCCTTCAGTCCTTACCTGTGCTATTTGCATGAGGGAAGGTTTTCCTGTTTCCCTTTTTGCATCCTCTGGATCAGGTTGATTTCTTAGAAATCCTCCTCTGATAGTCCTCTCCATCCTTTGCAGGGTCTTAACTGTGGTGCTAATATCTAGCAAAAGGACTAGGTGTTACTTATTGTGTACTGTGAAATGCTCATTCCCCTGGGCTGCTCTGTGGCATCCATACTCTGGTTTCTTGGCTGAAACAATGTGGTGGAAAAGGCAGATTTTCCCGGCAGGTGCTGCCCTGGGGTTGTGGAGCTACTTATGGGACATCAACCGCAGCTGAGTTCAGGTTAGTGCTTATGCCATTTGGGTATATGCTCCTGCCTTCAAAGGGATTAAAAAGTTCCAGATGGTGTCTCCTGTTGTTGTTTTTGTGTTGGGGCAGTGAACACCATGGAAAAGATGGGCCTAATTTGGGAGGCTGACATTGGGCTGTCTGTTTTTGGGAGTTCCAATCTGTGGCTTAAGGGAACTAAGGTGACCATGGTACCCTCCAGAGAGCTCACCTCTGAGGCCAGTTTTAAGGTGCAGTAAAGAATGGCTCTCCTTCAGGTCATTCCCAGCCAAGTGTTGCAGGCTCGTGGTTGGTTTGGCCAAGAATGGGGCCATTGCTCAGTAAGTGGCGTGCAGGATGGCTGCAGGATGCTCTTACCTCTTGGCTGTTCACTGACTTGCCAGGCAGCTTGGGCTGGTGGTGGTGATCCTTGGGTGGAGGTGTAAGTTCACCTTCCCAGGGCTGGATATGAAGGGACAGTCCACAGCTGTGTGCAGTAAGGTGTTTGACACTGTGGTGTTGAGAATCATTTCTTTCCTGGACTGTCTTCTGGCATTGCTGAGGAAGGAAAGTGCTTTCGTTCGTTCTTGGATCTACCCACAGGGCTTGGAAACCTGTTCTCCCCGGTACATTGTGCCAGCTGCGTTTGTGCTGCTTGTAATCTAATAAATGCTTGGTCTGAGCAGCTAGGACTCCTGCTAGAGCCCAAATGAATGCAGAGGAAGGACCCTGCTAAGTGTACGCATTCTTCCTCTCCTGGCCAGCTCCGATTCCCTTTCATAGCTCACATCTGATGCTTCCTCTCTCACCTAGCCCCTTAGCTCCGATGTAAATGTGTGTTCACACTTCCGCCAGTCAAGTAACTGTGCTCTCTCTGTCTCTCCCCTTTGTTACAAAGCCTGCTCTGTAAATGAATCCCACAGGTCTGGGGCTCAGCAGGTAAAAGGAGAAGTGAGTCTGTTAGCGCATGAGTCTAATCAGGCCGGCTAAAGCGAATAAAGTAGGGCAGCATTGCACATTAGCCGCTGTGTAAATGAGCCCTTTGATGGGCTGGGCACCGCGGGAGAGGGTTTGAAGCCAAGAAGAACTTTTGTTGTTAATTCAGTGACACATGGAAACTGTAAAACAGCGTGTCTTGCACACACACGAGAGGGAAAATAAAAGCCCTCACGACCGGGCTTTTCAATACCTGCCCTCGGACCTAGTCTGAAAACTTTCAGCCCCTGTCTCCCTCTCTTACCACTTGATTTTCCTTTCTCTCCCTTTCTTTTTTTGTTCCCCCTGCACTATAAAAAGAAAAGCTCTCTTGCCTTTTGAACTAGACGGCTGTGAGTGAGGGCTATCTCTGAGCTGTGTGGCTCTGTTACCTTTGTGTTCCAGATGAAACTGCCAAGCTCGGTGGGACAGAAGAAGATTAAAGCCCTGGAGCAGATGCTGATGGAACTCGGAGTAGGTGAGTAAAGGGGGCACGCGAGAGAGAAAGAGACACACAGAGCTAGCCTTTGTTCTCGAGATGGGCTATTTTTTCCCCTAGTAATACAGCCAGTTTCTTGAATAACAGTATGTGAATGGTTTTTAAAATATTTTATGTGTCTAAAAAAAAAGGAAAGAGAGGGTAAAAGCCAGAACAAGATGCACAGGGTTTTTTATTTTTTTTCCTCCCAGTAGAAAAATGTTTTAAAAGAGCCTTTGTTTCTCTCTTGTTTGGGCCTTTTTAACCATCAAGAGAGGCAGCACAGTATTAGAAGGCAAATCTCAGCCTTGCAGGGAGAGGTACTTCTAAGTGTGTTAGTGACCGCGGCACACACATTGTTCAGGGCTGCCCTGTCTTGCTTTCAAGCTTCGTTTCCTCTTAATTTACTGCTCACGGTGGCAAGTCCAAAATGCATCTGGGACTGTTCATCCCCCCTTTATAGGTTGCATGCTGTGTGAAAATCTGGAGCATCTCTGCCGAAGGGCGAGTAAACACACAGCCCTCACTCTTGAACTCCAGTGTCTTAGCAGCAGAAAGAAGGGTTCACTTAACAGGTACAATACCCACTCGTAGCTAGAGGGAAAGAAGTGCAGCCCATGGCTAGCTGCTGCCCTCCATGCAGTGGGTACAGTTTGCAGGTACCACAGGTCCCAGCATGCAGTGCCCCTTGACTGGACACCTTTTCCCCACACTGTGGCTAGGGGGGGATTTTTAAACACAGAAAAGGAAAAAAAAGAAGGAAAAAAACCCAAACCATGACCTTATTGGTAATTTAAAAGAGATTCCTGAGCCTGCTCGGAGCACTGACTCTGTTAACTCTTGTTAATTTTTTGGGCCAACTGGTTTATGGCTTGATATGTTGTCTCGGAGACACTGCAGTTCTGAAGGCCTCCTGTGGCTGGTGAAAGTGGCTCAACCAGGGTGGTTTTCCCTTTCTGCTTTAAAACTAAAGGAGTTACCGTCTTTGCTTGCTAGGGAAGCCTTGGGGAAGGATCTGAGTGCTTCTTACAGCTCACTTTCTATGAGGGTAAGGAGGGGTTCCTGACTCCCCACTCCTGCCTTAGAAAACACGTGTATCCTGAGGGCTTCGTGGTGCTCCAGCCCTGCTGTGCCTTAGAATCCATGTGGGAGTGAATGGGCAGTCAGGACCCTTCTAGGGATATTCTGTAGTAGGGTTTTGCAGGTCTGGGTGTTTAACAGAACCCTTTTTTTTTCTCCCTAGATCTCAACCCGATGCCCACAGAGGAGATTGTGCAGATGTTCAACGAGCTGCGGAGCGACCTGGTGCTGCTGTATGAGCTGAAGCAAGCCTTTGCCAACTGCGAATATGAGCTGCAGATGTTACGGCACCGCTATGAGGCCCTGGCCAAAGCTGGTAGTATTGGCCCCCTCACTGCAGAAGGCGCCCATCCAGATGGCCAGGCGGGGCTCGGCATCGAGGAGGTCAAGGGAGATACCAAGGACCAGATCATTGATGTAGTAGGAGCACCCCTGACCCCCAACTCGGTGAGAAGGAAGGTTGTGGGGGCAGAACAGGGAGCACTCAGGTCTCCGACGCAGATGCCCTGACAAGCGCTGGGGATGCTGCCCTGCTCTCCCTCCAGGCATGCGCGTCCAAGGGAGCACAGCACGCCTGTTTACCCCAAGTCCCAGTGCTGCTCTCTGGGCTCGTCTCCTGTGCTGGACAGTGTTCTTGGTGCTACAGGTGGGGTTGGCAGGGCTTTCTACATCCTGCATGCAGGCAGATGGCTTGACGTGGGTGCCACCGTGGACCAAAGCAGCAAGGCTTTGGGTGACGAGAGCTTGCCCTAGGGCAGCAGCAGTGATTCCATTACAGCTGCAGGCCTGAGGCATTTTCCTTCTAGACACAGCTCCATAAGGGTTTCTCAGAGGGAAGTGAGTGGGGAAAGCAGTCTTGAAATGATGAGCCATGACTTGCCCAAGTATCTGGCATCAAGCAGTAGTTCTGCCTGAAGCAGGAGGCTTGGGAAGGAGAGAGGTGTTTGAAGAGCAAAGGGGTGTTTTTATACCCTGCTTCCAGTGCTGTGAAAGGAAAGCCAGACCCTAGGGGTTCTTCCACTGCGAGCCCCGTGACAGTGTCCTGTGCATGTACCTCTGCAGGATGTGAATTACCAGCCTCTCCTCCCTGCCTCCATGAGGGCAGGCTGCCCAACCCCTCACCACTGCCTCAGGGCCAAGGGTATGCCGGGGATCAGCTGAGGTTGCTTTCCCCTCTGTGCAGTCCCCTGGCACAGCTGAGCTGAACTGCCTGACAAAAGCTGCCCGTCTTCACACAGTGGCATCCCCGACGCCTCAGATATACTGCCCCTGGTAGTGGCACAGACCTTTACTTTCTAAACTGTATAATGTATTGCAGGATATTGAGAACACCTAATCGGCAGAGGTGACACCTTAGTCTGGACTTGAGTAATGTCCTGTTTGATTGTGACAATATGGAGTCATAAGGAAGCGTTCCACTGAGACAGGTTCATGTTTGCAAAGGAGTCTTCTGAATTTTTTTTCTCCCCCTTACTGCTTTCAGTCTGAAATCTTACCCCTCCCTGCGGTCCCGAGTGTCCTGGGTTGAAAACTTTTCGGGCTGATTCACAACACACTTGCTCTCCCTTGAGACGTTGCTTGCTGGGAAGCTGGAAGAGGTGGTGGTGGTGGCCATGGCTGCAGGAGGAGGGAGCCCACGTGTGTTTTTGACCACATTGGTTCTCAGTGCCACCTTCTGGAATTGGAAACAAAGGGGTGGGCCCAGGCAGCACAGAGAGGGTTAAACTGACCTGGTCTCTGACATATTTGAAAGAAATATAATCAAGTTAATTCACTGCAAGGCAAATTCAGTACCTAAAGGGCCCCCATGTTAAATACAGCACTGACCTTTACCGGCTGATTACACAAAGACGACACAATTAGATTAGTCCAAGACAAAAGGTCAAGCACATTCACACTGTGACCATTTTATGCTACCTTTTGAGGGGGGGAAAAATTACATCCCAGCTGGAGGGGTGTCTTGGAGAGAAGTGGAATGGTGCCGCTGTACCATGTTCTGCCTGGCTCAGGTATGTTTGGAGAGTCAAGCAGGGCCTGGCACTGTGCTTGCCCTGAACCCAGCCAATGTGGCAGTGAGAGAGACAAGCAGCCTGTGACCCACAACCAGCTTTTCCAAGGATGGGCTGACCTTGAGTGGAGGCCATGTGTTGACGATGCTCCCTGCCCTGCCCACAACCGGCAGGAGCCTTCCCATGCCTCTCACTCAGCATCATGGCTAAAATTGGTCTCCGGAAGATAAATGGCTTGGGGTCAGCTTTAAGGAGAGCTGGGGTAGGTGCTGGCTGGTGAGGTGTGTGGGTGTGTGTCCTGGGTTTGGGGTTATCCCTGCACGAGGTAGGTGACACCTTGCCCTTCCTCTCACCAGGTTTAACCCTGCCACGCCAGCCTTGAGCTCCCCAGTTCAAGCGTGTTGCTTTGCCACTGAGCTGCTGGGGGCACTTGGGGGAATCATTTAATCTCCCTGCTTCAAATTCCTCTGGGTTGGAGAAGCCCTTTGTGCTGTCTAGCACTGCCCATCCGTGGCACTCCACATGTTGGATTAAGCATGGATTAGTTTAGCCTCCAAACCAGCTGCTCCCCTGAAGCCAGATTTGCTTCCCTAGAGAGAAGTATCTTGCTCCAGATGTTGGAGGGAGTGAGTAGCAAAGCTGGGAATAGGACTAAGGAGTCCTGACTCCTGAGCCCTGCCTGGCATGCCTGGATTCCTTCCTAGGAATTGGAACAGATGGGCAAAGGCACAATGGGGTGTTGAGATACTGTTTGTGGCAACATCTGGCTGCCTCCATCCCCCTTGTCCAGCAGTGGGGATGGAGGCATCTCAGAAGGGTGTTAGGGGTGGTCCTGGCAGTGAGACCCTGCGGGGCAATGGGAAGCTGGTTACCGGTCTACCTCACCGTGTCCACTGCATCCCGGCTGCCCTGGCTGCCTGTCCACCCTCCCCGAGGCACTGCGCTCCCGTCGCTGACCATTAAAGCCGAGCTGGGATCCCCCCAGTGCCGTCTGCTGCTGACCCTGGTAGGGGCTTTACTCGGGGCCTTTGGGAGGTGAAAGGTGAGCCGAACTCAGAACAAATTAGTTCCAAGCAGAAGTTCAGCCAGTTACTCCAGATTGGATCCTTTGATTTCCGCAACTCAGACTCCACTCAGTGATCTGTAATGAGTGACTCTCAGAAATCCTCACATTGCAGCACTTTGTTCCTGAGCTCACAAGTCAGCCCATTAATGGGTAAAGGAAAGGACCTTGAGTCTAAGAAGTCTCGGGTTCAGAGTCAGAATTATTTGACTTTTAAGCTTCCTTTATCTGAACTCCTGCTGACTTCTTGTTTTCTGAGCCTGTTTGAAAGCTAGAAGTTACATTGTTAAGATCAAACATTCTCTCTTTCCAGATGGAGTTACAATATCTGTCTTTTATATATATATTTTAATATATATAGTGTATATATACCAGGGTGTATATATAGACCTCTCCTTTTTTTTTTAATCGTTCTTTCCATTAAAAGAAACTAGACTTGTAAGCTCTTGTAAATTATAATGTAAAACATTTTTTTTAACCAGACAGTTCCCAATTTTGCCCAAGGCAACTGGAATAGCTGCGCCACAGAAGGCAATAGGAAGGTGATTAATATGAATTTGTGACATATTTGAAAGATGGGTCTTTTGCCATATAAAGATTATCAAACACATGTGCTCTTCCCCATTAATTCCACAGCCCTCCCAGGGAAGCCACAAAGCCCAGCTCCTTTGTTTCCAGGGTGGGTTTTTTGTTTTTTTAAATGTACCTTTTGGTCCCCTTGATTACCGCGGATTTGGTTTTTATAGGGCATCTGCTCACACTGCTGCGTGGGTTCTCTGGCCCTTTTATTTCCCCGTTAATCGGATCCCGCGAAGGCAGCCGTGCCAGGGCCTCTGACAAAATCCGTGTGTGTGTTGTATTTAACTTTTAGCCGTGCAAATTCCATGCTCTGTTTGCCGTCCGCCCGGTGCCCAGCGGGAACTGGGGGCTGCCTTCCTGCTGGTGGTGGAGGCAGCGGGGCCTCCCACGACGAGCGCTGGGCTTGATCAGTTTGGAGAGCATGTCCGTTGCTGCCTTGTCCAGCCCCTGGGTGCTTGCTGGCCTTTGGGGACAGGGGCTATCTGCAGGGACATGATCGCAGCCACCGGCCTCTGCCACTGCCTGTGGTGTGTTGTGCAAAGTGGACCCCAGCCTCAGGGCTCCGGCATGGTGTGACCATACAGCACCCAGCACATGGGGTACCTGGTGGCTCTGGCATGCCTGGGGCACCCTGCACGCAGAGTCCACCTTGGAGTGCTTACAGACCACTGCATGGTCTTTAGAGCCTGTGCAGTGCCTTGCAGAGAGGCTCCCTGCAATGCAGTACTAGGGCTGAGGGAATGTTCCCTGTTTGGTGTAAATGGTCCCATTTTTCCTATGGCTGGATTCAGCCCACACCTTGACTGTGAAGGGTAAGGATTGCCACAGCCCATCAGTCTCACTCCTGTGTATTGGTGTGTGCTGCCCAGAAAAGAGGTGTTTTTTTTGAGGGGCTGTGGTTCTCTGTCAGCCTCCTACTTTGCTCCTGGGCCACTTTACTGCAGGTCTGGATGGTGGAGCAGCAGTTCCAGGCTCTGCCCTGTCACATGCTGAGCATCCGTTGCATGGCTGGCTGTAGTGCAGAGCTGCTCTGCCCCTCTCTCGAGGCTATGCTCCTAATGGCTTGTTGCATCCTAGCTTGCTCAGTCAGGGCCCCTGGGTTGCCACAGAGCTCAGCCCCTTTCTCCTGCTCCCTCCCAGACCCTGTGCCAAGAAGGTGACCATCCCAAAGCCCTGTCCCAGAGGCCCCAGCCATGTTGTCCCTGGCATTCACCATCAGGCCCAGCTCCTCCTGCTGCCCTGCCCAAGGCAGGCAGACACCTCTGGCTTCAGTCTGCAGTGAGGTCCCTGCACCCCATGGTTTGCAGGGCTTTGGAGGGGCTGCAGGGTTGCTGAAGTCAGCAATGGGAGCCTGGGTTTGTGCAATGCCCACTGTGGGCACCATGGCCCTGCTGTGAGCCCCACTACTGCTGCCCACCCCACGTCCCCTCCACCTGCCTTTCAAGTGTAACTGGTGATCGATCCGCTCTGACAACGTCCTCTGAGTCACATTCTCGCCTGCAGGAGGAAAGGGCAAAGGCCAAGTTCTTAGTTTTCATAGAAAACTAATTAGACGACTCCATCGAAAATGGGTCAATAAAGCTGATCAGGGGCTGCTCAGAGGGAGCCATTAAAACCCCTGTGACCTTTGCTGGAGCGAGTGGGATGGGGCTGCCCCTTCCCTCTGGGATCTCCCCCTTCCATGCCAGCTGGACAGCTGAGTCCCTGTCACACCGCAGCAGCAGGCAGGTCCCTTGGGCACGTGGATGCGATGGTGGTTCCTGCACGGCCCGTGTATGGCTCCTGTGCATCATGGAGCTGCTGCTTGCATGGCAGAGCCATGCTGCCTGTAGCAGGGATGCTCTGTGATAGCAGCTATGTGGGCACAGCGTGCCAGGTTGCAAGGTGAGGTGACAGATGCCAGTGGGCCGTGGTGGTGGCACCCATTGGTGCAGCCTTGTTGGGACAGGCTGGTTGCATCCTTGGTGGCTGTCCTGGGGTACAAGCAAACATAAGGTGGTGGGAGAGGCTGCTGGGAAGTGTTCCCAGTACCAGGGAACCCAGACCTCCCATTCACAGCCAAAAAGCTTGTCTTGGTAGGGAGCATGGACATACTGGGGTGCTGTATCCCAGAAAGGACAGCCCCATCCATGGGGCACCCAGGCAGCACACACCTCTGCATCCGCTCCCCCTGTACACACTCGCACATGGATGGGCACAGCCCGGGCTCCTTTACCCCCAAACTTTATTCATGTGGCACATTTACAGCAAGGATTGGAATAACTAGACAATGAAAATGCTGGGTTTGCATTATCGGTTGGTTTAACTGGAACACCACACACCATGCAGTCATGTACCGCCAAGTTCAGTGCCTGTATTGCCCTTCTGGCTGCCGTCACCGGCTTCGCTCCAGGCCATGCACGCACGGGCCCGGGGCTGCAGCCTCCCTGCTAGGTCAGCACCCGGACGAGGGCTCCATTCAGCAGGGCCCTGGGGCTGGGTGATAGGTGACACTTTTTGGGGGGGGACGGGACGGGACACGACACATGTGCCCTCAGCCTGCCCCATGGCTGCCCCCCAACCGCCCTGGCCGGCCGGGAGCCCACCCAGCCGGAGGGGATGTGCTCGGCAACTCTCAGGCAACAAGCCAGCTGCTGCTGAGCGTCCGCGGGGACGGGGGTGGGGGGGGGCCGAGCCGCAGCTCGGGGTCGGAGGGAGGCCGGATGGGGTCGGAGGGGAGCGAGACCGGGGGCACGGGGCAATTTGCAGCTCCCCTGCTCGGGTACCTGTGGGCCGGGGGCCAGCGCTCGCTGGCACGTCCACCGCCGGCGACCGACGCGGTGCTGTGGCGGGCCCGTCCCCGGTGGAGCTGGGATCGGTCGGCGGGGCCGGGGCAGGGCTCGGGCATCCCACTCAGCCCTGCAAGAGGCACCAGCAGGCGGGACGGGGACGGGGCTCCGCATGGATGCTGTCACCTCCCTCTTGCCGCCCGCCCGCTGGGCCCCTGCCCCACTGAAGGGAGCCCTCCGGGGCCCCGCAGCCCACGGTGGGGCTGCCAAGGGGCTCTGCAGCGGAGAATACAGGCACTTCACCTTGAACATAAAGAGACGGATCGCGTTTGTCACATACAGGAGTCAGAGAGGGGTTAGTGTTGACTCAAAAAGGGGGGAGAGGCGCTCGGGGGAGAGGCGGGGGGGCTGGCAGGGAGGGCGAGGGGCCGTCTCGACACTGCTGAGCCTCCGTGAGCGCTGCCCGGGCGCAGGCATCGCTGCAGCAGCCATCGAGGCCTGGAAACATAAAACCAGAGAAAAGAAAGAAGAAGGGAAGGTGGGGACGGCCCATGCCGGGGAGGGAGGAGATGGAGGGGGGGGGGATGCTCTGGCTACGGGGCGGGAGAGGGAGGATGGGGTGGGATATGGAGGGAGGGACGGAAATTGGGAGCCAAAGAAAAAGAACTACGAGTCTAAAATGTGGTGCAAGCGCCCTACGCGGCTGTCCGCTAGCATGGCATAATGTCCGGAGCAGCCCAGAGAGGGAGTCACATCAGGTCTACACAGATTTGCCTTCCCATATATACAACCTCTACTGGAGTTAACAGCTGAAATTGAGATTTTTTGTGTCGGTTCCTCTGGCCTCGGTTGCCGTTTTGTTTTTAATGCTGGAGCCCGTCCTCCCCGCCTCGCCGGCGCCGGGCGCATGCAGCCCTTGCCTGGCTTGCCTTGGGGATCAAAAGGGTTTGGAGGTCTGCTTGAAGATGAAGCCTCTATGGGCCAGTGTCTTCATGATGTTGGCGATGTTCTTACAGTCATCTGCGGAGAGAGAGCACAGAGGTACTGGGTTAAAGCCACGATCAGACCAGGACCTGTTGGATCAAGCTCCCAGTTCCAATGCTGGGGCCGTGCAGCTCCAGGCACAGCCCCTGTGTCCACACCAGTCCAGGCACTCTGTCCCGCGTGCTCTGCAGTGCTGTGGGGTGAGTGCGGGGTCCCCAGCTCCCCAGCATTGGTCACCTGCATCCCAGTATTGCCCCATGCTGCACTGGGATGGATGCATGCCCAAGACTTGGAGGCTTGGCATTGCCCAGGCTGCAAGTGGATACATCTCTGGCTTCTCCAGGCTGGTGCTTGCCCCACAGCCCATGGGGAGCTAGTAGATTCAGAAGGCAGCATTCCTGCAAGACAAGCCCATCACAGTCTCTATCTCTTGGCCAGTGTCTGCCTCCCTGCAAGCCTAGTGCCAGCCTCCTGTTCCAGCACCCCTGTCCCTCAGGTGCAATGGCCAGCAAAAGGGCTGTCCCTGCACTGGGATGGGGACAGCAAGTGATGCTGGAGCTGCCCTCCACCAGCCAAGCCTGGTCCGCACCTTACCCTGGCCCTCATGCAGGGGCTGCGTGGCACTGGGCTCTCTCTGCACTTTGGGGTTGTCCCTGTCCCCACCAGAGCCAGCCTTTGGTGCTGCCCCGTGCCCACCAGCCCCATGCTAAGTCAGACCACGGTCGAAGCAGATGCAGGGGTCCATCCAGCAGTTCCATGACCACCAGAGCAAGGGGTGGCCGTAGCAGCAGCCAGGAGGGGGAAGGCTCTGGCTGGTGTTATTTACCTGGGACTAAACTCAGGCACCGTTTGCTAAAATAGAAGCCGGGCTTAAATTGATTCCTAGTGTCTATATTTCATGTTGAAAATTGGCTTGTAAATCCATGTTTTGATCTATGAGGGCCGTCTCCTTAAGAAAAAGCAAGAGTAAATGTGTAATTTCTCCCTTGACAGCACACGGCGCAGAGGCGATCCTTCTTCCCGCTCCCCTCCGTTTCGGGACAGCTCCACTCGCTCCGATTACCACTCTTTCTTCCTCGCCCCACGCCTTGATGTCTCCATTTCATTACCGCCCGCCCATTTATCAAGCTGTTACCGTAAGGGTGACTTTGCCCACTTGCATGTGGCAGCGGGGCCCGTCTGACACGGGGAGAGGGTGCCCCGGGAAGGGGGGGGAGCAGGCAGGGCCCCCCTCTCCCTGCCGCCGCTGGATGGATGTTGTGGTGGAGGGAAGGCTGCATCATTACTGATGTGTAAATGATAAAGAAGCCTCCACATCCATCTCCCAACTGTAAATCCAGGGAGTGCTTTATAATCAAGCTACAGCGATAATAATGTGAAATTAGGTCTCTCTATCAACGGGAGGAGGCCTTTTAATCACGGCTTAAAGGGTGCAAACGCTGTTTATCATAATTGAACTGTATCCGGGCTAATTGTGGCCATATTTCACTGTCTAGGAGACAGCAGGCTGCCTGCTGACAGTGCCGCGTGCCGCACTGAGGGCCCCAAGCAGACGGGCAGCGCTGCCCCACTGCCAGGCGCCTGCCTGCAGGGATGGGGATTCTCTGCTGCTCCCTGCCCCACCACCAGCACCGCCCAGCCCCGCTGCGCCCCGTGACCTGATGGCAAAGCCATCACTTGTCCCTCAGCGCTGGTCGGAGGTGCAGCTCCTCAGGGAAGGAGGAGCCCTCCTGGCTGATGGCTGGCAGCAGAAGAGGTAACGTCCCCACTGGAGCTATGTGCCTCCATAGTGTTCCTCCGGCCCTTCTTATGGCACCATTCCCCTCGCCACTGTGACAAACAGGGGAAGAGAGCTGGGTATGAGGACAGCCTGATGAAGGAGAAGTGTCCAGGGCATGTAGTGACAGGACAAGGGGAATGGTTTTAAACTGAAAGAGGGGAGATTTAGATTAAATATTAGGAAGAAATTCTTTACTGTGAGGGTGCTGAGGTTGCCCACAGAAGCTGTGGCTGCCCCATCCCTGGCAGTGTTCAAGGCCAGATTGGACAGGGCTTGGAGCAAGCTGCTCTAGTGGAAGGTGTCCCTGCCCATGGCAGAGGGTTGGAACTGGATGAGCTTTAAGGCCCCTTCCAACCCAAACCACTCTGTGATTCTAAGGAGAGGTGTCCCCAGACCCACTGGCTAGCACAGGGGCAGAGATGAGCCCGTCTGCGCCTTTGTCCTCTCTGCTAACCAAGGTGGCACTGATAGCTCTGGACGTGCCCTGGAGATGCTGGGTGTCGTGCCTGCCCAAGCCACAGAACCAGCTCCTGCTGTCACTTACCCTGACACAAATGAGCCTCTCACCATCCTTAGGACCTGCTGAGGCCCCAGGAAACCAGCACCAGACCTGCCCCAGGAGCCAGCTCCCAGGTGTACCTAACAGGGAAATGGTGGCTTGAAAGACAGAGAAACCAAGGCAGGGAGAGTGCCACCATCTGCAGCCAAAGCACCCCCACCAGCCAGCCCTGGCCTAGTCTCCCAGAAAAGTAACAGCAAAGCAAATCCTGGCCTCTGAGCTCCATCAATCCATGTCTCGTATGGGAAAGCACAGCCCTGGCTGCTGCCCTTCACCACTCCCAGACACCCATTGCATCCTTCTTGTCCACAGCATCGCCCAGGGCCAGCGTGGGATGCTAGCACTTGGCTATTGCTCTGTATTGCTGTATTGCCAGGGGAACTGCACAGAGACCTGGGGGACCCCACGGAACCTCCTGGGACTCCCAAGCTGGTCCGTGGGGAGATCCCCTGGGACCACTGGCTGCTTCCTGAACCCCATCAGCTGCCTTCCCAAAGCCCTGATGTGCTCTCACGCCGAATGCCAGTGCTGGGAGCTGCCCTGGGCTCTGAGCTGCTGGCCTGTGAAGCCGGTGGGACCCCAGCAGGTTGGTGATACCTGCACAGGTAGCAATGTTCTCACCATCCCAAATGATGCCATGGCCCTTTGGCAGCGGGAGCGCCAAGCTTGTCATAAGTCATTTAGTGAGACTCATTCCAAATCAGTGCTAAGGTAAACACGCTTATTATAATTATCCATGTAAAAAAAAAATCAACAACAGCAGAACAACTTTCTAATATGCAATTACAGCCATCTATTGATTTTACAATGTAATCCGCTGCGATTGATTTAATAACACAATTATAGGCTGGCTCTCGGGATATTAGAGTGGGAGATTTTCATAAACTCCAAAGCAAAAAACTAAGCGGCTTTTAAAACAACACAGTCAGATGGCTGTTTGGGGAATTATTAGCAATATGAAATCCTCTAAATCTGGCCGTTGTTACCTTGTGAGAGGAATTTCTATTACAAAAATGGCAATTGACAGCCTAAGAGAGCGCGAACGGGATTGCTCTGCTGCTCTTTCGGTGCTTAATCCATTGCAAAGGTGACCACTGGGCAGGGGACGGGTGGGATCCGATGCAGGCCGAGGGCCAGGGGCAGCCCTGCCCTCCTTGTGTCCCCGCTGTCCCCAGCACCCAGGCTGGCACCCACCAAACCCGTCCCATCAGGGTGCCCCTGTTGGGCACACAGAGGCCCCCACGGTGCAGAACCTCCTGATCCCTACCCCAGCACACCCGGGTCCCAGACACTGCCAGGGGCCGTTGGGGTGCCAGCCCGTGTCCCCAGGGCTGTGCAGGGGGACAGGGTGAAGGTGGCCCCATGTCACTGGCTGGCACAGCTCTGCGGGTGCTGCACAGGCTCCGCGCGCTCCCGCTCTCCTGGCGCTCGCTCCCTCAATGTATTCCTGACTTTATGGGCACATTTTTCTTGTCAAGCTGACAGGGTTGCTAAGTGGATTTCTCCCTGATATGCGGACGGATTATCACATTACTCCAATGTCCTACACAAACATATTACTTTATATTCAATAGCCCTAATGAATATAAACTGCTTTTTCTTTTTTGGGGGTGGGGGGTAATCTATAGATTTTTAATGAGGGCACTATTAACTCCCTCCTCTTTAAAACAGACTTAGGTGCAGCCTCTGAGTAGAAAATCAATGGTGTTATTGTAGGAATATTGTATATTGATATTGTAATAATAAGATGCAATTGATTTAGGGGTGTTGTGCAGCGTGTGTGAAAGGGGTCAGCCTGGGGTTATCCTGCCTCCTGCAAACAGAGGGTGGCTCTGTCCTGCCTCCCTGCCCCTCGCCTTGTCATGCTGCTGCGGAGCATCGCCCCATGTCCCCCCTGTTACCCACTGCAGCACTGCATGGCCTCGAAACCCGTGTCCTGGCCCTCTGTGTCTTGACAAGCTCTTGCCGCAGTGACAGCCAAGGACAGTGGTATGCGCACACACATGGGGTGCAGGAGCCTCTCTTGATTAGGGCTGGAGTTTGCCACCATTCAGCATCACTGACTGCCCTTGTCCTTGGAGGGGGACAGACATTCCCACCGCACTCCTCTGCCAGAACGGAGGCAGAAACCCCTCATCCCAGCCAGTGCACATCCTCCCTCTGGCCACTGCAAACCCAGGGTGAGCTCAAGGGTTCCATCAGCAGGACGCTTAGCTTGCAGCCCAGGTATGATATAGGAATGGGGCTGCCAGGAGGAGCGATGCCCACTGAGGAGAGCATCACCTCCGCACACACCCCAGGCTCCTGCTGGCATTTCCCCTGCCTCTCCATGGGACTGGACTGTGTGGATGCCATTGCCACTGGGGCTCAAAGGACCGAGCACCACCATGACCACTGTGTGCTGGGCTGAGACACAGTGCAAGGAGCTGGGGGAGCGCAGGGCCCCCGAAATGTGCTAATTTGGAGGCAGCCCCTCTGCACCTGTGCTATGGCCGGGAAGACGGATCACCCCTGGCCCGAGCTGAGCAGGTCCATATTTAAACTGTCCCCATGCTTTATGGGCTGTACAAGAACTGACGCTCAGGCGACGAGGGGCCATTTGTCAATGTTCTAATGGCAGATTACTGTTAATGAATAATATCACCGCTGCCTTTGTATAACAGCTCCCTGCAAAGCGGAAACCCTAACCGCCGCCCT